AGAAGAAGGGCTCAAAGGCGGCATCCCCGTGGAATTTGGTGGCGAGAACCCTTGGACTGCCGGCTACGTGTTTCACAACAACCCTGACAAAGTCTTCAGGGAGTTCTTCGGTGGAGACAATCCCTTTGCGGGTAGGTGGAGGGGGTCTGGGGGTGGCCCAGGGCTCTGTCTTTGGCTGCTGTGATGCCATGGCCACTGCCAGCTCTGAGCTTTAAGCTTTATGGGGATATTTCCCTGCCCAACTACTCCCAGGTCCCTCTGGTGCTGCTGGTCCCCAGTGCTTGGAGCCTAGGTCCTGACTTCCCCCAGTCTCTGGCAGACGAGAGGCCTCGGGGTGCGTGTTCAAGCTGGCAGCTCTCCCCAGCTACTGTTGTGCCCCTTTTCTTGGAAAATTCCTGGAGAGCAGCTCCTGGGAGTCCTGGTGGACAACAGGATGCCCATGAGCCAGCAATGTGCCCTGGTGGCCAAGAAGGCCAATGGCATCCTGGGGGGCATTGAGTTTGGTCAGCAGGGTGAGGGAGGTCATCCTCCCCCTCTGCTCTGCCCTAGGGAGGCCACATCTGGAGCACTGTGTCCAGTCTGGGGCTCCCCGGGTCAAGAAGGACAGGGAACTGCTGGAAACGGTCCAGCAAAGGGCTACAAAGATGATGAGGGGACTGGAACATCTTTCTGACGAGGAAAGGCTGAGGGACTTGGGGCTTTTCAGTCTGGAGAAGAGAAGACTGAGGGGGGATCTTATCAATGCTGATAAATCCTTCAAGGGAGGGTGCCAGGGGGATGGGAACAGTCTTTGTTCAGTGGTGCCCAGTGACAGGACAAGAGGGAACGGACACAAGAACGGGCACAAGCTTGAATATATGAAGTACCATCTCAACCTGAGGGTGGCAGAGCAGTGGCACAGGCTGCCCAGAGAGGTGGGGGAGTCTCCCCCTCTGGAGCCATCCCAAACCTGCCTGGACGCCGTCCTGTGCCACTGCTGGAGGTGCCCCTGCTCTGGTGGGGGGTGGGATGGGGGAGCTCCAGAGGGCCCTTCCGACCCTGACCATTCTATGATTCCATTCTGTGATTTTCATCAAAGAGAGGGGTCAGGTTGTCCAGACTGGTGTAAACACATAAGCAAAATAAACACACTCCCAGAAAGAAAACATTTCAGCTGGAAGGGGAAGGTGGTCCCAGACAGAAGCACGTGGGAGGTTTCTGGGTGGCATATTTGGGGCGCTCAGGTTCCATAATAAGGAAACCCCAAGGGACCGCCCCCTTCTCTGACCTCTGATCTGGGTGAGGTGACCCCCCCCTCTGCTCGATCACGCAGAGTTCTTTGCTGAGGACGGCTCAGAGTTGATCCTGCCTTTCGGAGGGCTGCGAGGACGAGGAGCGATGAAGCAAGACCCCCCAGTTGTGCGGGATCTCTACCTTTCCCTCGAAGACCTATTTTACGGTTGCACCAAGAAGATTAAGATCTCCCGCAGGGTAGGGGCAGCGGGGGATGAAGAGGGAACGCGCTCGGCAAGGGGGGGAATTTTGAGCTGGATATTTTGGCAGCGGAGCCTGAGGCTTTAGGGCTGGTCCCACTCAGGGGACTTGGTGGTCCATGGCACCGTGTCTGTGCTGCTGGGAGGGATCTGCACCTACACAAATTCTGGCAAGATCCGAACAGGTACCTTCCTCTCCAGGCTTGGCAAAGCGAATTTGGTGCGGGTGATGTGAAAGCTGGTAGGAAAGACGAGCTGATATCGGAGGGGGTGGAGAAGGAAGCCTCCCTGGTTTCATTTTCACATGGGGCTGTGCCTCCTTTCTGCTGTCAGTGACCTACATCCCCCCCTTCCCCCACTGTCCCAGTCTCCCAGTTCCAGCCCTGAGTTTCTCGTACTCTGTCTGTCCCCATTTGTTCTCACAGCCACTTTGCTGTGTAGTGCGAGCTCTCCTTGCTCTCCTTACTGCCAGCTCGCACGCAGCTGGATGAGCAGAGCAGTTATAACCCCTTCCCTTTGGCCACCTTGGTGTCACAGATCACATCTTGGTGGTGTCCCTCGGGCAGATGACAGCCCTGCTGAGAAGGGCTTGAGGGTACTGGTGGATGAGAAGCTCCCCATGAGCCGGCAACGTGCGCTGGCAGCCCAGCGAGCCCCCGGCACCCCGGGCCGCATCCCCAGCAGCGTGGCCAGCAGGGCGAGGGGGGACTGTGCCCCTCTGCTGCGCTCTGCTCTGGGGAGACCCCCCTGCAGTGCTGCCTCCAGCTCGGGGGCCTCAGCACAGGAGAGACATGGACCTGGTGGAGTGGGGCCAGAGGAGGCCCCGGAGCTGCTGGGAGGGCTGGAGCCCCTGTGCTGGGAGGACAGGCTGGGAGAGTTGGGGGGGTTCAGCCTGGAGAGGAGAAGGCAAAAAAGGGGAGACCTCAGAGCCCCTTCCAGTGCCCAAAGGGGCTCCAGGAGAGCTGGGGAGGGACTCTGGATCAGGGAGGGGAGCCGTGGGATGGGGGGGGAATGGTTTTAAACTGAAAGAAGGGAGATTGAGATGAGATCTTAAGGAGAAAATCTTGGCTGTGAGGGTGGTGAGCCCCTGGCCCAGGTTGCCCAGAGAGGTGGGAGGTGGCCCATCCCTGGGAACATTACAGGTTGGGTTGGACGGGGCTCTGAGCAACCTGGTCTGGTTGAAGATGTCCCTACTCGTGGCAGGGGGGTTGGACCAGATGCCCTTTAAGGGTCCCTTCCAACCCAAACCATTCTGTGATTCTATGACAGACTGGTGGCTGCCCAGGGGGGCTTGCCCAGTTAGTGGGGCCGTGTGCGGCACCGCAGGGTTGTGATCCACCCAGTGGCTCAGCACTGCCATGGATGGAACCAGTGCCTGCTGCTGGCTGCTCCGATGACAGAGCAGAGCCGAGCTTCCACCTGATCACAGACCCACCTCTCCGGACAGGACCTGTCTCTTCTAATCCCTTCATCCAACCCCCAGGTGATGAACGAAGATGGTCAAACGAGCACCATCAGAGATAAGATCCTAACGATCAACGTGCAGCCGGGGTGGAAGCAGGGCACCAGGATCACCTTCGAGAAGGAAGGAGATCAGGTAATGACCGTGGTGGGAAGTTTTGGGCCAAGTTTTCTCGGGACCAACCACGCACTCCTTGCAGGTTTCCTATTTCTGCGGGCTGTGGGCCGTTGGTGGCATGGTTGGTGAGGTGGTTCAGTGTTACTGTGCTCAGAAACAGAATCACAGAATGGTCCGGGTTGAAAGGGACCTCTGGAGGTCATCTAGTCCAACCCCCAACACTCTTAAGGAGCCCTTCCTGCCTGGATTTTCCTTAGGATAGATAAAAACTTATTGAAAGGAGTGATTTTCTGCCTGGCATCACCTTTGCGAAACCCGGTCTGGTTTCTCTTGGCTTAGCAGGAGTCTTTTATCAAAGACTTTTTTTTTTTTTCTTAAAGGAAGAAAACACCTTTCCCTTCTCCATAGCCAGCTGAAAACAGTAACAAAGGGAGAAGCGTTTGTGTCACTTTTCCCTGCGTAAAATCATTTGTGCTACACCAAACCATTCCCAGGTATCTTTGTTTCCTTGATTTTTAGGGTCCGAATGTCATTCCGGCTGACATCACCTTCGTTGTCCAAGAGAAACTCCACCCGCGGTTTAAAAGAGCCAACGACAACCTCACTTACGTCGCCACCATCCCCTTGGGAAAGGTAAAGAGCCAAGCGAGGGGACGGAGCCAGTCCCAGCTTACGTTTGCCCTCTGGGGCTTCAAATGCAGCTCCGGGTCCCGCTCCGTGCCTTGCAGGCGCTGGTCGGCTGCATGGTGGAGGTGAGGACGCTGGACGGGAGGCTGCTGAACATCCCCATCAACGACATCGTGGAGTAAGTGCTGTGGGGCAAACGGCTGCTGGGCTGGGTGGTCAGACAGGGCCTTTCTGCAGAGCTTGGTGGCCAAGGAGGTGAACAGCCCCTTGGGAGGAACCTCAGCGTTGGCCTGTTCCTCCTCGGCAAGAGCTCGACACTTCCCAAACGCGTTGTCTGGATTACTGGGGTGCTTCAAAAGCTTTTCCAGCAAGTTTGGGGCTGAGGAATCCCAGTTGGGAGGAGGAGGATGCCCACTGTGGGCTGTTTGTCTGGTTTGGGGCCGTGTTGCTTGTAGCAGAGGCAGGGAGAGGGCTTGGTGTGGGTGGGTGGAAGACACGAGTGAGATGAGGGTACAGCCTCGAGGGCAAGGAACCTGGGGACACAAGGCTGGAAGAAGAGGGCATGCCTCTGGTTGAAGCTGGAGGAGCAAACTTGTCCTAAAAAACCCACTCAGCGGCGTGCGTGGGGTTCTGCACGTGGCCAGATCGGGGCTTGGTGCCGTGGCCCCCGTGTTGGGATCATCCTGCGGCTCCTCTCAGCCTCTTCCTTTGCTTCGCAGTCCCAAGTACTGTAAAGTGGTGCCCGGGGAGGGGATGCCGCTGCTCCAGGACCCCCGACGAAAAGGTGACCTCCTCATATATTTCAACATCTGCTTTCCCAAGAAGCTGACGCGTGACAAGAAAATGCTCTTGAAAAGCGCCCTCCTGTCCTAGGGGATGATGACCTTCCCGCTCTCCTCCCACCAATAAAACTCTGGAGCCAGCACTGGGACTGGGTAGAGGTTGTTCCCAGTACCGAGCACCCTAAAACACAGCACCCTTGAGGCTGTTTCCCCTGGGACTGGAATCCACCGTGCTTTCCCGGACTCTTCTCCGTAGCTGCCACCCTGCGGCAGCGGCACCACAGCGATGCGGAGGGTGATGGAGGATTTTGGGGAGGTTGGAGTACTCCCGGCTCAGTTGGTGCGTGGGAACAGTGACGGTTTGGGGGTGACTGTGCACACGGTGGTGAGTGAAATACCAAAACCAGGGAAGAAAAGACCACAGGATTTACTCAAAGCCTCACTGTCCTCACTATTTTTGTCCTTGGTCGGCGGCTGGCGGATGTGATCCCCTTCAGTGTCTTCGCCACCAACGGGAAGGTGGCGATGGCAGCGTTGGGCTCAGGAGGGGACCTCCCGCTGGCCGCGTGTGGCCATCAAGCCCTGTTTCAGCTGCTCATAGGTGACGAATATCATGAACTTCCAGGAGCCAAGCTGCAGGAATGGGGACGCAAACCTGCCGGAGCAGTCAGAGTTGGGGTCAGGGTCAGCATATCCCATCCCGGAGTGATGGTGCCTCCACCCCACAAGCGATTATGTTTTGGAAGAGGATGGAAAAGGGTGGTAAACCCCTACTGGCTGCTTGTAGAAAGCCTCCGGCCCCTCATTTCTGAGCAGGGCGAGGGCACAGCTGCCACCGCTCCCGTGCTGCCCCAGAACAGTGTTCACGTACCTCATCTTCACTGCGTCCATCGGGGAGGCAACGAGCGTGGCGCAGAAGCCAGCCCCAAAACCAGAAGCAAAGCAGCAGGGGAGGTTGTCAGCCGAGTGAGAGCTGTGGTGGGATTTGTGAGCCCGGATTCTTTTAGGGACACAACCCCGGGGCTTCGTCCTCTTGTGGGGTGGATGCTCGGCATGGAAATTGGCCACAGATCCCCCAGCTGTGCCTCCACAGCAGAGCCAGGGCCCTCACCCCTTGTGAGATGGGATTTGAGCAGCGCCTCTCCTATGAGGAGCGGCTGAGAGAGTTGGGGCTGTTCAGCCTGGAGAAGAGAAGGCTCCGGGGAGACCTTATTGTGGCCTTCCAGTACCTCAAGGGGCTCCAGGAGAGCTGGGGAAGGTCATTTTACAAGGGCATGTAGTGATAGGACGAGGGGGAATGGCTTCAACCTGGAAGAACGCAGATTTAGATGAGATCTTAGGAAGAAATTCTTCCCTGTGAGGGTGGTGATCCCCTGGGGCAGGTTGCCCCGAGAAGCTGTGGCTGCCCCATCCCTGGAGGTGTTCAAGGCCAGGTTGGACGGGGCTTGGAGCAACCTGGGCTGGTGGGAGGTGTCCCTGCCCAGGGCAGGGGGTTGGAACTGGATGTTCTTCAAGGGGCATCCCATTCTGTGATCCTTGATGAGGTTGTAGGACACCAGCTCGGCGCAGTTCACCATGGCGCTGTGGATAATGTTGGGGGACATTCTTATGTGGACCAGAGTGGTCAGGGTTGTGGTGCTGGAGCAGCCATCCCACTGGGGTCCCTGCGGGCTGCACCCACCTCTCCACAGCCCACGGCCACCTTCCTCCTTTGGTGATGGTCCTGTAGGCATCTACGATGCCCTGGTAGCCATGGCCACCCTCCCTGCACCTTCACGTCTTTTGGCTGGGCAAAACCCACTGCCGTGGCAGCCAGCTCCCACGTTGAGCACGTGGAGAGAGTACAGGGCCGGGATGGGGGGAAGAATATTTAAACCTATAAACCACCCTTCCCATGCTGAAGTGTTTTCACTGCACGGTTACAACTCCATCGGGACCAAACCCCGATCCTGTGCAGTTTTGGGGCCCGTGGAGGGGCTGCCCGGCAGCGGGACCGTGCACCCGGGGACTTGCGCTCTGCCCCTGCGGTGCAGAGCTGCTTCATGCAGTCGTACGGCCTCACGCGTGTGGAGGTGAAGCTCATCCGCCGCTGCAGCCCGGCCCCCAGTCCAGGGGGTCCCCCGTGTCCTCACCATGGTGGCGATGGGCCCGAAGACCCCCTTGTACCGCCCCTTACCCGTGAGCTTTGCCTCCCCCTGAATCTGCGTGGGGAGAAAATGGGATGAAGAGGATTTACTGTGGCCACAGACCCCTCCTGCAGCTGTGGGATTTGGGGAGCCCGGCTCTCCTGCAGCCACACTTTGGCCGCGTCCAGAGGGAAGGTGACGAGATTGGCCACACATGGCCTTGAACCCAACCATGGCATCGGAGTGGGGTGAAACCAAACCCAGGGCCCGGAGGGAGCAGGCTGCCACCCTCAAAGGAAAGAAGTTCCTCCTCGGGTTTAGATGGAACTTCCTACGGTCACGTTTGTGCCCGTTCCCTCTTGTCCTGTCACTGGGCACCACTGGAAACAGACTGTTCCCATCCCCCTGGCACCCTCCCTTGAAGGATTTATCAGCATTGATGAGATCCCCCCTCAGTCTTCTCTTCTCCAGACTAAAAAGCCCCAAGTCCCTCAGCCTTTCCTCAGCAGAAAGATGCTCCAGTCGCCTCATCACCTCCGTAGCCCTTTGCTGGACCCTCTCCAGCAGTTCCCTGTCCTTCTTGAACTGGGGAGCCCAGAACTGGACACAGTACTCCAGATGTGGCCTCTGGATACCACGGGGCGCACCGTGGGTGTTTTGGGTGGCTGGTCCCAGGTTCTCCCAGTCCATGGTGGGAGTGGGTGACATCTCAGGCTCTGGCCAGTGCTGGGGGGAGGAGAGGGATGGGCGGAGTTGGGAGGATGTAGGTTGGGGTCCTCAGCTGCAGGGATTGGGGGGTTGGTTGTGGCCCGGCACCCCTGCACGCACCCCATGACATGGGGGGGGCTTGGGGAAGGGGGGGACCCCCTGTCTGCACCCCACTCGGGGCCAACGGAGCCGGGGCAGCCGGGAAGAGGATGGTGGGAGGGGAGGACAACCCCCATGGGTGGCACACGTGGCCATGAATCCACACACCCGGCTTGATGCTTTGGGTTTGGTTTTTTCCCCCTAATCAAATAATCGCGGCTAAAGCTGATCCCCGATTTCAGATAAGGCCTGGTTTGACTTTTCCAGCAGCACCCCAGGGGCAGGAGAATGACCCTACACCCTCCCAAAAAAACCCAGCGAGGGAGTCCTGCGGCAATCAGACCCCATAGGGGCGGTTTATTGGAAGCGTCAGTAAGGAATAACAGGAATCGCCGCATCCCCCGACCCTCAACTCCGTCCCGCCTGCCCACACCGCTCGCCTTGTGCCTGTCGCCTCCGGGAAGCGATGCTCTTCCCGGCTGGAATAAAACCTATAAACGCTTTTTCCTTCCTCCCTAAACTCCTCTCTGGACACCTCCGTTCTCCCACGTTTCTCCGCAAACAAACAGCTTCATTTCTCCTTCCGTCTCGCCGGTCCCTCTCTGGGGGAGTCCCCGTTGGGCTGGGGGTGTCACTGCTCCCCCGCCGCTCCAGCAATTAATATAATTTACTCCTGTGTCTCGCCAACGCTGACGAGAGAGGCTGGGATTGGGGGGGGAGGTCAGGATTGGGCCGGCCGGGCCAGCGTCGCGGCGCGCTGCAGCTGCTCGTAGGAGATGAACATGACCACGTTCCAGGAGCCGAGCCGCAGGAAGGAGGGGACGAACCTGCACCGGGAAGAGCAACGCTGGAGGGGACATGGCGGGGACATCCCCGCGGTCCCCAAAGCCCTGCCTGGTGCACCGGTGGCGGCACACGGGTTAGGACGTTTGGGGTGCGCCGGGCGATGCTGCGGTGTGAAGCAGAGCCGGTCCATGCCGGTGTCTGTGCGCACGCCATTGTTGCACTGAGTTCGCTGGTGCTCAGCGGGGCATCCCCAAACTCACCCTTTGTAGAAGCCGGCGATGCCGTCCTGCATGAGCAGAGCGAGGAGGCAGCTGAGCGCGTTCCGGTACTGCCCGGGGCTGGCGTTCATGTACCGCGTCTTCACCACGTCCACCGGCGATGCCACCACCGTGGCGCAGAAGCCAGCCCCGAAGGCGGCCACAAAATGGCAGGGGACATTGTCTGCGGGACAGAGCCGGGGGGTTGAGGATTGCGGGGACGGGGATGGTGCCCGGATGCGTTCCCCCGGCACCGTCCTCACCTGTCATCAGCTGCGCCCGCAGCAGCGCGTCCTTAATGAGGTCGTAGGTGACGAGCTCCCCGCAGTTGACGATGGCGTTGCGGGCAATGTTGGGCAGTGTCCCTGTGCAGGAGAGCGGTGGCATCGGGCATGGCGATCACATCCCCTCTTGGGGCATTGTGGCTGGGTGCCCCAGCCCTGCTGTCCCCATTCCTGTCCCCATTCCCATTTCATCCCTGTCCCCATACCTATCCTATCCCCAACATTGTCCCAGCCTCCATCCCCATACCGTCCCTGTCCCCATCCCCGTCCCCTTCCTCATCCCCATTCCCATCCCCGTTCCCATTTCTGTTCCCATTTCTATTCCCATCCCATCCCTGTCCCCTTCCTCATCCCCATTCCCATCTCCATTGCCATTTCTCTTCCCATTTCTGTTCCCATCCCATCCCTGTCCCCAACTCATCCCCATCCCCATCCCTGTCCCCATCCCCATCCGCCCCTACCTCTCCAGAGCCCGTGGGCTCCCTCCCCCCTGGCGATGGTGCGATAGGCACCCACGGTCCCGCTGTACCGGCGGCCACTGTCCGGC